TAATTTTTCATAATATTATAATTATTATATTATTGTATATAAAAATATAATATAAAAAAGTTACCTCTATATAACTATTTTATAATTAGTTTGTTTTAATCAAGCATTTATATTTAATACTATATATATTTATTTGTTTAATACTCATTTTATGTGAACATGTGATATTGTATATATTTATTTCTTAAATATAATATTATATTATGATAATAATTTTATAATTTTTTATGATATTATAACTATAATATTATCAATTTTTTTACTATTGTTAGGTGTTTTTGAGATAGTTTAAACATATCTCAAAATTAATCTCTCTTTTATTAACAAATTATTGATGAGAAATATAAAAGAAAACATATTATTGATGTTGTTATAGAAGAGTAAGCTTTATCAAAGAACCAAAACCAACCTTGTGCTGTAGTTTAACTTTAAAGTGCCTATGCTGCAGCCAGGGAAACTCGAATGACCTTCCAACAGGTAAAAAGGAGTGTGTTTCCGAAACTATGTAGCATGGAATTCCTGATGACATGCATGCAATGAAATTCCCTTCATAAGCTTCATACAAACACAGAACTGAAGAACAAGGTACACACCTCTTTCATATACTTCATTTTGCCATTAACTCGAATATGATATCGATCCAATAAAGTACAAGCAAACAGAACTACACCCCACAACATTTGCAAGGCTGCTACGATGTGCAATGAGATGTTTCATAACATTATGCTGAACTCATCACATAACTTTCCTTAACTAGCCTGTTTCTTTCTTGGGTTAGCATCTAACCACTGTCAACTATACACCAAATACATAATTTTCATTTCATACATACAACAATAAGAGTAAATATCCAACACCCATTTTTCTTGGGTAGCAAAATATGCAACTGGTGGACTAGTCAGGAGATCATATGTTGCTAGCAGATGAGCTATCACTTCTGTTTCTTGTCAAAACCAGTTGAGCTGTTTTCAGCTGCAATTGTTGCCGCCAATTCCATCAACCGGTCATAGTCTATTTCAGTTGACTTGTACTTCAATTTAAGCCCCCCTTGGGTCCATGACTTAATGCAGAGGATAGCTTGTGTGCTATCATGTGGCATACAAAAACGTTGCTTATCAATCTCATCACCTTTAGTGCAAAATAGTTCTTCGGGCATCACTGAATTTGCCTGCATAGCCAAGAAGTCTCGAGCCATCATAGAGAGGCGAGGGTAGCGTGTGCTGTTGACCTTCCACCATTCCAAGACATCTGTTTGAATAGGAGCTGGAGGCTCAGACAGATACTGAGTGAGTTCATCAGAAGCATTGCTCATGCTTGCCCTTCGTTTCTTTCGAGCAATTTGCTCAGCAAAAGAAACACTTCCCCCATCTTCTGAATCTTGAGCAGAGTACCCACCAGTCATGGATGAATAATGGCCAGTATAATAATTTCTCAAGAAGTGGGCTCTTGCTTTCTCTAGATAATTTTCAGAGTTGAGACTATCAGGAATGAGCTCATTTTTAATCCGTGGATCAAGAATTGTTGTTATGTATGTGAATATGTTGCAAACCTGGCTGTTGTAATTACTGACCTTTTTGGCCATCTCTTCAGCAGCACTTTTAAGCCAGTCTGGGTTTTGATGGGATTCTCTGCATAAAGCAATTGTCTCAGAGATATGATCCATGAAAAACAGAACCAGACCAACAGTGGGAACTTTGTTTTCACATATATTGTTTGTAGTTTTGTAGAAGGGCTCCAAGTATGCATGCACAATATTGACAACACTCTTCTCAGCCGCACTGAGCAGTAGCAGCCTGCCTAGAGCTTCCTCATACTTCCTTATCACACCATCCATAGACTTCCCAGCCTGCCAGAGTAACAAAAATATTAAGACCAAAGTGCATCATTTTCTGCCAATTTGAAATGGTCCATAGAGAGTAATTAATAACTAATTATTTATGTTCTAATCAGGAAGTCATATGAAAACAACGAGTACCTTACAGACAATGTCAAGCATTTGGTAATTTCCACTCCACCGTGACGAAGTATCAAGTGGAAATCTCCAGTTGCCTTCTTCATAACCTGCTGTTAATTGAATAAAATCTTCTGACATCTCTAACGATGCATTTAATTCCTGTATAAACTCTCTGATCTTGGGGATGATTGGTTTTGTTGTTCTTAATCCATCATCTATAATTACGCTCAAAGTACGAGCAGCACAAGGGATATAACAGAAGGGACCAACTTTCTGAACATCGAAGACTTCTTTTAAAGTTTGGCAAGCATGATGGGCATTCTGACTATTATCATGGGTGCATGAGAGGACTCTATTCTCAATATTGTATGTCTTGAGAACCCTTACCAGGGAGTTATAAATCTCAGTGCCACCATGAGGGTAAGGTACTCGACAGATATCAAGAAGCACATTATGGAAGGACCAGTTTTCATCAATCCAGTGACATGTGACACTCATATAAAAATTCTGCTCATAGGAAGTCCAGAAATCAAGAGAGACTGACAACTTTGAAGAAACATGCTCCAAAGATGCCCTTACATCTTCTTGCATGCTTCTGAAAACTTCCTGAAATACTGCTTTGTACTTGTCACTTGGCCAGAGTCGTACTGATGGATTCAAAAATTTGAAGGAGTTTGCTAACCACTTTTCCTCTAAAGTTGAAGGAGGAAGTGAAGCCAAAATAAGCCATTTAATGAGCAACCAGTTCAAATGATCGTAGTCCACCTGGGATGCTTTTCCTTGTGGTTGAGGACCCTGAGGTTTCTTGGTCACAGTGGCAGTAGGCTGTGAAGACAATGGAGTTGAACTTGTGACAACATCCCCCCTCTTTTCATATCCTGGATGGCGATTACTGAGGTGCCTTCCCAAATTGCCTTCACAAAAAGGGAGATTCTTAGACTGAAGAGAAAATTATAAGTGAGTGGTCATTGCGTCATAGACTCAAACATAGTGTCCCATTAGCTGTGGAATGTTATAATCTTTAAGGAGAACAAATTTAGATTTTAATTAGTTTTTCAAAAGAAAAGCAAAAAAACTCTAATTCCCTAGGATAAAGGTTATTGAGATATAGAAATGATTTTTTGTCAAAAAATGTAGAAGATAGCTCTTTTACTGTTATACATCAAGTAAAAGTTCAAATGGTTAAATTAAGAACAGGAAGAAGCATTTGAACAGAACCTACCTGTGGCTGTTGCAATAGAATAGCTCTGTCCACAAAACTTGCACCTTCTACTTTTACCATCAGGGGCTGTCTCAAAGTACTTAAGATAAACAGATGTCATTGTCTTCTTTCTTGGTTTTGCTATAGGGACAACATTTCCCTTCTCAGAAGAATCCAGTCCAATATCTATAGGATCAATGTTTGGAACGTGTCCCATGTCCATCATGGTTTTTGGTTCCATATCTATCACAAAAGGAAACAGATAGATAAAAGACCATACATTTGTAGAAAAAAGCAGCATGCATTTCTCTCAAAAGCTCCGTGGTAAAGTAAACCGATAGCAAATTGAAAGCAGTAAACTTAAAATAACACAAGCAAACACTTCTAAATATCTGAATACTGCGGTGATTCCCATCTTTTCTTCCCTTTCTATCAGCTCGCAGGAACTCAACTAACTCTTAGACCCTAACACTGACTAAATATGAGGAAAAACAACTGAGCCTGTCTACCCATATAAAAGTTAAAAAAGCTACTACCCATCCTAAAAATATTGAGCCCCATTTTGGCCGAATCAAATAGAACTAGCATGGTATACAATCAAGCACTGAGTGGTTCTTTAGTGATATATCAACTAGGAAAAAAAGAGAAGTTCATCATCTTTACTTGAATTCAGAACTGAAAATCATGCTATCTGTCCCTCATAAGTTACAAAACAGCAACAAAACCATTTTGAATTTTGCATGAAAGATCAACCATTTATGCAAACAATCCAGCATAAGATAAGATAATATTGCATCTGATAACCGATCTCCAGTAATGAAACAAGACTTGAAAATTTTCCTTCACAAATAAAAGATTTCTATCTTTTGAGATTTTCACCCTAAATAATAAGGTTTTAGTTTTTAATTTACAATCTCCAGACAAACAATTCGATGACCTACATACATTGACATTCCCACTGCTTGCAGACTTGATCAATCCGAAATTTTCAAAAACAAAGATAAAACGAGATTATTCAATAGAAGAATACCTTTGTAAGATTTATAGGAATTATTCACACTCCAATCCATCTGATTCCGAATTACACAAGCTAACAGTTCCTGTCAGATCATCTATGAAAACTGTGAGAATCACAAAATCTTCATCTCCTCCCCAAATTCTGAATACAATATTTTCAGTCTTACCCCAGAAATTCATTGGAGGAAATGAAAAGAAGAGAGTGTACAGCTGCCGTACGAATCCTGCATCATCTAAGTTCGAAACCTGAAACAAATTTCAAAAGAAGAAACCAGAACAAGTAAGATTAGGTTCTTGTTTTTGAAAAAGAGAAAACAGGAGAAGAACTACAAGCGATCAGTGAACCAGAGATCATCTTCTACTCTTCTTTCTCAGGGGAATCCGTACATCGGCGCTGAAAGAAGCGGAAATTCCTTCCGGGAACGAGACCTGAGTAGGAGAAACTTGCGAAGAAAGGGAGGGAGATTTGGAGGGAAGTGGAGCCGGAAGGAAAACAGATCGGCGCTAGATCTAAGCCGGAAGTGAGCCGATGAGAGAGAGAGAGAGCGGCGAGAGGAAAATAAGAACAAAATCGACGCGACTTTATTTCCTTTTTCTTTTTCTTTTTTTATAGAAAAAAAAAAAAAAGAAATTTGGTATGGCTTAACTCGAGCGAGTGGCTCGGGACGAGTTGATACATCAGACTCGGGGATGCTGAACGGCCAAGCCAGCTGTGGCGTTTTCAATTTTTTATTTTTTAAAAAACTATATTCTTTTTTCTTTTTTTTTTTTCCTTTTTGGGTGGTGGCTGGCTATTAGATGGAACAGTTTGCTGAGCCCAACGCCGGGCTGCAGCGGAGAGCTCTGTTTTGAGTCTGGCTCCTACCATTCAACAAAATGTCCACACCAATTCAAATTTAACGTTCTTATTGCAACAGGATACCACAATAAAATTTTTAAATTTTGATATTAACCCGCTAATACCAATAACCCAGTATCAAATTGGCCAATCAAAAATTATGTCCAATAATTAGAATTAAATTATTATTTTTTAAAAATATGGTTTACCATCCATCTTATCTGGACCGTAAAATAATTAATCAATGATAAAAAAAAGTGTCTTCAATATTAAAAGAATCGCTCCATTTATTAATTGTTAAATGAAGTATAGTTCATGTAGGATAGATTACATTTTAATTTTTTATATTATAATGTTAATAATAATTATTTTTTTGTGAATTTTTCTTCTTTTTTTTTCTTTTAGCCAACATCAATGTGAAAGTCTAAAGTTAAAATTTTAATTAATTTAATGGTTCAAAATTTTATATATAGAATGTTATTGGAGAATTAAAAGACTCATAATTCTTTCATAAAAAAAGGTCTGTAGTTTTTTTTTTTTTTTGTATAAAACCTTTGTTATCGAAAAGTCACATTAACTTCTAACTAATCATAATTCAAGTTATATTAGATTTTATAAGTGAAAACTCTCTTAATGTTTTATTTTTTATTTATAATATTCAAACTTGATATTTTATTTAAAAGATTCAAATTCATTCCACTTGAATCAATAGTGGTTCATATAAAGAGTTTATTAGTTTAATTGAATTAATTTTTTATAAGAATTTAAATTAATTTTAGTAACTCATAATAAGAGTATTAATTATTGTTATTCAGTCGACCACGGTTCAAATACCTTCCCACCTCTTGGTCATGGGTTCGATAACCGCATGTTCTTTTTAATCACATATACATCTTAGGTACATGTTTAGTTAGTATTTATTATTATTATTATTATTATTATTATTATTATTATTATTATTATTATTATTAGTTATACACCAAAACTCTCACTTACTTACTGTTTTGAACGAATTTTGATTAAAATTTTGGTTGGTTTGGTAGTTAGAAAAAAAAAATTGAGAGCTTTTAACTTTTAACTAATATTCCATCCATTCAATTTTAACCGATCTAGTTTTTTATTTAGAATGTTTAAATTTAGTTATTCACTTTTTTTTAAAATGTCATTTAATGCATTTATTTCTAATTACTATTATTTTGAAGGATTTTTTTAACAAATACTTTTTAAGGCATAAGTTAATGGTGTAATTATTACATTTTTTAATTAATTACTATTAAAAATAAAAATTAATCTTTATTTAAATAACTATCTAATTAAAATGATTCATGTGGCACTAATGATGAAATCAATGATAATTTTTATAATTTTTAATAATAATTAATATAAAAAGAATGAAATAATTGCACTCCTAAAAGTACAGATTAGGCAAATCTTATTTTAAAATATAATTACAATACATATTAAATAAAAAGTTTTATTTAGATGGTACTTAATTAAAGATCAATATAAAATCTTATTAATGAATTATTACATTTTTATTTTATTAGACAAAAAAATAAATTTATCAAAAATAAATGAAGAGAGTAATTAACAACTAATATTTAACTATTGAGATCTTATTTGAAATTAATCTATAAAAATATCTTTTCAGACACCTTAATAATAATAAGTTGTTTAAAGAAAAAAAAAATTTATCAACTATCATTATTAGTCAAACCAAACACACCCTGATCCTCTGGTGACTTTCGACTCTTTTTTTTTTTTTTTTGGGTTAAAGGGATCTTCCAAGTTCCAAATCCTTATCCCAGAGAAGTCCAGGACCAATTATGCTTTTGTTAATGTTTGGATCAACCGTTTGATTTGTAATTGTCTATTTGTCTGTATGGTTGGCCAGCACTTTATGGCAGGAACATAAAACTA